ATTCTCATGTATCGCTCCGAGCCACAGTGCAACACCAACGTTCATCGACTCCTCTGAGAACAGTTGAAATGGGCAAATGATTAGGTGGTGAAGAACTGAGGGCTGAAAGTAGTCTGAGCCACACAAAACAGCAGCAGCTCTTCGCAGCGTATCTCTGAATTCAGAAATGGCAACACTATTTCCCGCCTTGAGCTGATCGTGGAGTCGATGCAGCATATTCTTGACATGCTCGCTGGATTCCAGGAGGCTCCGTGAGATCTTGCCACAGTCTTCGCCTACATATTTCCAGGTCAGTTGCAGAACGTGGCAGAAGACGGCGGACAAACCATTGTTTTCTTCGGATCCCTGTTCCAAATATTTCGTCACGAGCAGATCTGGGGCCCGGTACTGCTGGCGGATGGTATATTGAGCAATGAAGTCAGAGGCAACGTTGACCTTGCTAATCCCGGAGCTCTGAATACATCCTAGGAACGGAACCTGTTAGGACGTTTCGGCCAGTGCAGAAACAAGATCTTACCGAGTCGCTGATCGCTTCGGGGAATTGTGGAGCCCATATCCAGAGCGAATGAACGACCTAACGAAATGTGGCTGCCGTCAACGGTGTCGTTGGAAATGGACAGGTATGTCTACCTTCGGGTCAGCCATCAATCCTAAAAGCCTTCCTAAAAGTACTCGCCTGGAGAAGGCCTTTCACATCCAGAGGTGCAATATCTATAACCGCTGCTACCCATGCTTTAGCTTGCTCAAGAAGTCTATTCAGAGTTCTCTTCCTGGCATTGTAGTTGTCGGCAAGATCAACCTTCACGATTCCCAATGGTGATGCGCAGGAAGCCTTCCACTCGAATTCATCAAGCTCTTCCTCAAGACACGATAGCCACATTACAGTCAGCAATTCAAGAAGAGCAAAAAGGGAATGTTTATCACAGAGAGCCGATGGGCATTCTCTAATGATCTTATCGGCGCACAGCATGGCGACGCTCTGCACTCGTTCTATACGATGACAGCAAGCCATGAAGAATTGAGCCAATTCCTTCGACAAGTAGGGAACAGAGAAATTCTCATCGTTCGCAGATAGGGTCAGGGTCAGGTAGTCAGCGACGACTTTATCTGCAATGGAGCTCATGCAACTGGCCATGTCAGCTGTAGTCAAGGCTGGGTCGCGGAAATAACTGAGAACTTTGGTACAATTTCCCGACGACGCACGGAGGCTCTCAACCAACAAAGAAGCGTTGAGAAAGACCACTTTCGGATAATTCAGATGTTTAATCCCTGATTCGCAATCAGGAAGCTCGGCCGTAAGAATTCTCTTGAGCTCTATCAACCGTTGGGGGCTCATTCCGCGTCTGAGGATTGTGTTCAGCTCCACGTCACTCTCGAGCATCTCTATGCGATTCTCGGCAATCAGGGGCGGAGAGTGCTTTGCGAGCAAGCGTAGTTCTCGAATATGACTTTGAGTAACAGCTGACTGAGTCGAGAGTCCATGAACAGAGATATTAAACCAAGCATCACGAAACAGGGCAGTGATGTCTTCGTCAAAAATCACATCTGTCTGTTGTATCCCAGTTTCCCCTTCGTCTGATGAAATGAGGAGAGCCAGAGGTCTGAGGAGAAAACTGATGGCCTCTGGTGCTAGAGTAACCTCCTTTTGCCGCTCGCTTTCACTTACTGCATCGCCTTTATTCACAATACATTCCAAGAGATGGATCAAATAGACCCGAAAAAGCGGGGAATCCCTCCTCAGCGCGAGAGATATGTATGTCATTGCGCCCTTGACTGCATTTGTGACATCACTAAAATTCCGGGCGATACTGTCTTGATAAGCACGGTCATAGAATTTGAGCAGGAGTTGAAACTCTGCCTGTCCTGTGCTCAGGGAAAGGGAGGCAGTTTCTCTAATGATGAGAGCATCCACTGCAATGTTGACTTTGCCGATCTTTTGTAAAAGCATTGATTGGGCTAGCGCACTAATTTTCTCATCATTTGAGCTGGTTGCAATTGTCACAATAGCGCGGAGAATGTTTCTGCAGGTTGCATTATCATGGTCACCAATGGCTGAAATGGAGACCGTACTACCATTACCAATTGGCGGTGGAACGGAAGAAACACTGTCGGGTTGCCCAGTATTCTCATTCAAGAGCTGATTATGATAATACTTGTCAGTGCCTGAGCCAGGGCTCAAAGCGTTCCCGAGCGAGTAGAGAGTCGTTATGACGGCATCTTGAGACAGAATGCCAAGTACTTGAGCAAGACACTTTCCAGCAACAGAGCCGGTATATTCTCCTAGCACGCACCCTTCGATAATGAACCTCAGAAGAGAGCGGCTTCCAGAGGATGCACTGGCCAGAGACATCCTTGAGATGATAGCTATGCTTTTCAGGGTGGCCGTTGCAAGCTCGAGACTTGCCATCTGATTGGGGTCTGCCAGTGTGTCCTCCAACCAAGAAAGAAAGGCACCGCTGTTGGCAGCATTTCCACTCAATATGACGCAGTTCAAGTAGCCAATAAGGGCAAACGCTTTCACAGAAAAGGTGAGCTGTTTTTGCCAGGGTGAGCCCAGTTGAAGATAATCGGAACCATCCTCAAGGAGTTGAATTTCGTCAGCAATTATCTCTGTTATACGGTCAATGAGGGTGATTTCAGCGTCATCGCTACTCCTGGCAATCCCAACACCATTCATGTAGTCGTCGAGAAGCTCTTCATCAGACAAGCTTTGTGCTCCCACAAGGGAAGTAGCGCATGATTTGACGAAACGCATGAACCCTTGTTGCAGAAGCATAGCGCCTAGAGGACGTCTGTTTGCAGCATATTGTCGGGTGTACCTTCTCCAGTCCCTCAATGTAGGATCAGCCATGCTCGCATTTCGCACAGTGGACGAGGCGGTCTCAATTGCAACCATGAAGCTTTCAGACAACATGGATCGTACGTGCTCAACAATCTGCAGTTTTTCACCGGCAGACCAAAGTGAAGGAAACTGTGCGGATGCTTCTAAAAATCCAACAAGAGAAACGGCGAGTGATAGTATGCGCTTGTGCTCTTGAACAGCCCCGTATTTGTCACCTGCAGAATCGTAGCGCTGAAGAGGTGTAATGGCATCAATAGCATCCACACAGCTATGTAAGTACTCGTTGACAGCGCGGAGAGTAGTTGAGCGTAACGGAGGAAAATTAGAGCCCAGTGAGAGCAGTGACGATGTCAGTTTGTGAGTGAGCGTCTCCCAAGGTGAAGGCTTCATGTCATTCAGGAAAGGGGACGGCCGAAAGCTCTGGCTATGAGACTCGGGTAGGTAGGGGAACAGTTGCGACACCAATTTCGAAGCGTGATCAAATTTGGTAACCGAAGGTGCAGCATCGCATAAAGCGAGAAGTACATCCAATTCTCTAGAATCCTTCGTGAATCAGTTTTGAGTTGTTTTCAGTCACAAACAGATTCAAATCGCATACCATCGGCAACTGGGAGATCGTTCTCTTATTGTTTACGGCACCATCTGGCGAGACGTTCGAACGACTCGATGGGTGCGGACATCGTTGAGAGAGCCGAGTGACGTCCGACAGGTCATCGCAGCCTGCTTCCGTGACGGATAAAGTTGCAAGTTTGTCCAAGGCACGGCGTCTGATGTTTGTGAAGAAGCTTCTGTAAGGTCAGTGTCGCTGATCTTAAAGTCGAAAGTGGTCGATATTTCTTACCAGTCCATTGTCAGAGGTTGCCTTGACTTGGATGTCCACTCTCTGGAAAACAGATGTCATCTAATTTAAGAGGAGCGAAAGTTTTGGTGTACAGCAGCGCTTGTTGCTTTCGATGATGTTTGCAGTCAAATGGCTACCTAGGCAGGTACATGTACCTTACCTCAACACAATGAATGTAGCTCCAGGGGGAACGATACGGAGTTTGATACTGAAAGTCTAAAATACGTTAGGTACTCCGTAAGGTACCTTATCTTTGTAAAGTCGTTACCCCATGCGGAGACACTTATATACGTAATTAGTGTGTACGGAGTACCTTACATTCAAATACGGGAGTAAGCTCGGGACTCGACTCTCAATCAACGCAAGATACTCTCCGTATACATAGGAGCATGACAGGCCCGTAGACAGCACACGTGCATGGGTAAATAGAAAAGCCTGGAGGATAAATCTGACGGTAGTAACTCTGCAGGACTTGATAGACTACACAGGGAGGAGGACATTGATTTGATGCTGAAATGCCCATTTTTAGCCTCGTATAAACCTGATGAAACAAGAATTCGCACAAAGGGCGGTCAGCTCAAACGTCAAGAAAAGGGAAGCAGAGGCATCGAGGATACAATCATGATTTGCTACGATCTTAGAGTATCTCTATTAGGAAGGCAGTGGGCACACTGCTCAACTGCTGAAGGTAGTAAAGTATCTTCCGTCTGAGTTACTGAGAACCTAAGATTCCCTACTACTAGGTAGACACATTCTCCGTACTCAGTCCTGTGAATCAGTGACTATTCATTTCAGCTGTTAAGGTACATTTTAGTGGGTCGCGTTCACGTATCCCCAGGTAAGGGTACCAAGCAAGTACCAAGGTACAAAAGTACCATCCTCTCTACTGGGACGAGTACGGATCAAAATATTAGATACTAGAACATATCTAGACACCTGATGATACTCTTCTTGAATTGGCATTTAGTCTAGCAATTCCAGGTACTATTGCCGCATCCAAGCTAACCTGGTGTCAAGACAAGTCTCCGGGTCTGGACTTGACCGCTTAAGTTTACTGCTCTCTCGGACCCGTGATCCTCACCTTCGACCTTGACTCAAGGTGTTATCAGAGCATTGTCTGAGAAATTTATCTCTCCAATTCTCAGCCATGCAGAAATGAGATAGGTTCTACGCCTGCGTGATACTGAACCCGTGCATCGCCTCGGATACGCGGTCGGTCAAAAGCTGGATCCGCCTATCCTTTGTCTTTCGAAGGCTCCCAAGGCGCCAGTATTTGAATCAATCTGAGGTCTGTCGAGGCACGGAAATCAATGAATGATGGCACCTCAGAACGAACAGAGTTCTCTCAAACGTAGCAGGGTATGTATCTTCTGTGCACTCTCCCTTCTCCTTCGTTCAATGCTAAAAGCAAGTCCTTCTAGGTCAGCACAGATGGCGATCCACAAGATCTAAAGAAGCCTCGACGCTCCGAGAGAATTACATCTAAGAACCAGTCGCAAGCGACCCCGGTCGACCAAACGTACTTGCCCACCCCGTTGACTGAACTAGATTCGACTGCTACGGATGTTCGGAATGAAGTCACCGCTACTCCACCGGACAGTCCTAGCCAAGCTATATCGAGTGTCGAGCAACTCAAGCCGTGTTCATCTCCTCCTGGTGACACTCAAACTCTTTCACAATTCGTTTATCCACCCAGGGCATTCGCCGATGAAGTCGAGGATGAAGCAGCAGAGGGAGTTTGGGGTTATCTGATTCCTCTTGATGACAAAGTTCGAGATGCGCTTGTGTTGAGAAAGCGCCATAGCTGTGATACTCGCAAGAATGGTGACTCAAAGACTCAGACGAGCAAAGAATCCCGGCTCTCTCAAGACAAGAGTCCAATCAGCAGACAAAGACTTAATCGACCTCCTGGGGGTTATCTGGTCGGTCGTCATCCAGAGTGCGGTGGGTGTTTACAGTCGCCTAGTGCTCATTTCCTGAAAATTCTAACGGCATCCAGACCTGGTTATTAATATTCCCACAATATCCAATCGACATTTCTTAATATTCAGCGAAAACAAGAACGGCGATTCTATCGCAATTGTGGAAGATCTGTCCAGCAATGGCACCTTTGTAAATGATGCCATTATCGGGCGAAACAAGTATCGCGAGCTTGAAGATGGCGATGAAATCACCATCCTGGATGAAGCGCGATTCGTTTTTAGATATCCCCGGACGAGAGACACGAACGGTTTCCGCCAGCAGTATCGGTTGCTTCAGCAGCTCGGAAAAGGTCATTTTGCAACCGTTTACTTATGTGTGGAACGTGCGACTGGCACTCGATATGCCGTCAAAGTGTTTGAGAGACGTCCTGGAGATTCTCAGAAGTCTCAGACTGAGTCCTTGCAGCAAGAGATTGGCCTCTTAATGGGGGTCAATCACCCGAATCTTCTGTGCTTGAAGGACACCTTCGACGAAGCTGATGGCGTTTATCTCGTTCTCGAGCTTGCACCTGAGGGCGAGCTCTTTAATCTGATTGTTAGCAGACAAAAATTTTCCGAAGAAGAAACCCGCCATATCTTCGTTCAGCTCTTTGAGGGTCTGAAATACCTGGTAAGCTCTTTGTTCATTGGATCGCAATCTACGCTGCCATTCAACCATCAATTTTGTAGATGGGAGGCAAACCCCTGACGGAAAAGGAGACTTGGACTGATTCAAACACAGCATGATCGTGGCATCGTCCATCGAGACATTAAACCCGAGAATATACTTGTAGCAGACAAAAAGCTGACTGTGAAACTTGGTGACTTTGGACTTGCGAAGATCATCGGGGAAGATTCATTCACCACCACTCTGTATGTGCTGCCTTCTCTTTCTTCAGACCGTTTTTCTCCTTTGCCATAACTGATCCATTTTGTTCATAGGTGTGGGACACCAAGTTGTAAGTTGACTACCAGCCAGCTGAGAATTCGTCATTTCTGATTTCTTTAGATGTCGCTCCAGAGATCTTACAGGAGTCTCGTCGTCGAAGATACACCAAGGCTGTGGACATCTGGTCATTGGGAGTCGTTCTATACATATGCCTTTGCGGATTTCCCCCTTTCTCCGACGAGCTCTACACGCGCGAAAACCCCTTCACATTGGCACAGCAGATCAAAATGGGCAGATTCGATTATCCATCACCGTATTGGGATTCTGTGGGCGACCCAGCTTTGGACCTGATAGACAGGATGCTTACAGTTGATGTTGAGAAGAGAATCACGGTGGATGAATGTCTAGAACATCCTTGGCTTACCGGGAAATACATGAGCGTTTCCGATAGCACAGAGGGGCTGACTGGTGCGCTGGGAAAGCTCGACTTCTCAAGACGCAAAGTCGAGCGCGAGCGCACATTGCTCAGCAGCATCAATGACGCTCATTTTAGCGAACACAACGAAGGATCTGGTGCTCCTGTGAAGGTCTTCCACAAGAATAATGCTGGCAAGCGCATGCACAACCAGCCAGCCCATGCTATCCATCGAAATGAGGCTCCGCCCGATGAGAATAGCGCTCCCAAGGAATTCGTCAATCTTGGAGAGCGCGGTGACCCAGTGTTGTTTGAGGAAGATCCAACAACTCATTATAAGTGATCGGAGGCCGTCTTATTCACATCAAAGTCGCATCATGTTAACGTTGGGATGTTGCAAAGGGATGATCGCCCAGTTCAGCCGCCTGACAGTCAAGAGCCCTTTAAACCTCGAGTACGAGAATAATGATATCAAAAGCGCCACACAATGACCAGTATTTATATGCTCATTTATGTTGTAGCAGTCGTGTGTCCACCTGTCAGTTGATGCTACCCCGAACAGAAGGAGATTGGACAATGACTGCTGCACAGCATCATGAGCCCTGCCTCCTATCTGACTTTCTGAAGTTAGTAGATTACCTGTGACCACCAGGCAATACCGTTGCATCTTCGTCTGTTCCAGCAAAGCTAAATTAGAGACAAATGTACAGTACCTTGTAGTCGCGATTCTCAGCTCTCCCTCTTTTGTGCCTTTCACAATGCCTTGAATCCTTGGCAATATGTGGTACTCTTTTACATCAACCATGAGATATCATTGTTTTAGACATCCGGCTCCGTTGAAGTGGCGTGATTATTCAAGGAACCTTACCATAGGTTGCTTTGCCAAATCAGATTAGTCTAGCGCAACTAGGGCCAGTTAGTCCAGGGGTTTAACGACTCGTGGCTGGTGAGTGAATAAGAATAAGAAGGGATCCATGGGCGGTGACTGGATACTTGCAGGAAAAACAAGCCAACCAGCAGATACCTATCCTTTTTCTTCCCATCTCCATTTTATTTTCCCCAACTCCTGTCTCTCGGTTCGTTTGTCAGTTCGTGCGTTCTTGAGGTCTCTCAAAATTCGTCCGTTTCTGTTCAAATTAGGAGGGTGCCTCTAGGCGAGACACTCAACCTTCCTTTATTCGCTGCGACAGGTACTCGGTTGATCAATCCGAACACTGTGCTGCAGCGATGGGCCTTATCGCATTTATTCTCGACGGCATCTGCAAGCATTGCTCGACGCAGTCAACATGGGTGCTTGTTGGGGTCGGACTACTGACCATCCTCGCTGTATCTGTCATTATCAATGTCCTGCAGCAGCTTCTGTTCAAAAATCCTCATGAGCCTCCAGTGGTCTTCCACTGGTTTCCCTTTATTGGCAGCACCATCAGTTATGGCATTGACCCATACAAGTTCTTTTTCGAATGCCGCGCAAAGGTTTGCATTGTCGCAGCCAAATTATGTGTCTAGCTAACTTTCTTTGCCCGGCAGTATGGCGATATCTTCACATTCGTTCTCCTTGGCAAGAAGACAACGGTGTATCTTGGTACGAAGGGCAATGATTTCATTCTAAACGGCAAGCTGCGAGATGTTTGCGCTGAGGAGGTCTATTCGCCACTGACTACGCCTGTTTTTGGTCGACATGTCGTGTATGACTGCCCTAATGCTAAGCTTATGGAGCAGAAGAAGGTAAGCGACTCTGGCAAAAGCACACCTTGGATCCAGCGACTAATAGTCCTAGTTCGTCAAATACGGCCTCACCTCTGATGCGCTCCGATCCTATGTTCCCCTAATTACGGATGAAGTAGAGAGCTTTGTCAAAAATTCTCCGGCCTTCCAGGGACACAAGGGCGTCTTCGATGTATGCAAAACAATCGCTGAAATCACCATTTACACTGCTTCCCGCTCGCTTCAAGGGAAAGAAGTTCGAAGCAAATTCGATTCCACATTCGCAGAGTTGTACCATGACCTTGACATGGGCTTCGCTCCTATCAACTTCATGTTACCCTGGGCCCCCTTGCCACACAACCGCAAAAGGGATGCTGCGCAGCGCAAATTGACCGAAACTTATATGGAAATCATCAAAGCACGCCGTCAGGCAGGCAGCAAGAAGGATTCTGAAGACATGGTCTGGAACCTCATGTCCTGCGTTTACAAGAACGGCACACCGGTTCCTGATGAGGAAATCGCTCATATGATGATTGCTTTGTTGATGGCGGGTCAGCATTCTTCCTCGTCTACTGCTGCCTGGATTGTTCTGCGCCTTGCGACGCGGCCTGATGTAATGGAAGAGCTATATCAGGAGCAAATTCGTGTTCTCGGATCCGATTTGCCTCCACTCACGTATGACAATTTGCAGAAGCTGGATTTGCACGCCAAGGTCATCAAGGAGACTTTACGCTTGCATGCACCGATTCACTCGATCATTCGAGCCGTGAAGAATCCCATGGCTGTGGATGGTACTTCATATGTGATCCCGACATCTCATAATGTTCTCTCTTCTCCAGGCGTCACTGCCAGGTCTGAGGAGCATTTCCCAAACCCAATCGAATGGGACCCTCACCGTTGGGATGAGAACATTGCGGCTAGCGCTGAGGACGATGAAAAAGTTGATTATGGCTATGGCTTAGTTAACAAGGGCACCAATAGCCCGTACCTTCCTTTTGGCGCTGGACGGCACAGGTGCATTGGCGAGCAATTTGCATACCTTCAGCTTGGCACAATCACAGCTGTACTTGTGCGGTTATTCAAATTCCGTAATTTGCCAGGTGTCGATGGCATCCCCGACACAGATTACTCTGTGAGTTATACTTGTGCAATTCAACGTCGAAATCCTACTTGCTAATTCTACCAGTCTCTGTTCTCCAAACCGCTGGGCCGATCTTTTGTGGAGTTTGAAAAGCGCGAGTCCGCTACGAAAGCCTGATCGTGATCTCTCGATCAATGCCTGTTCTTGATATGATTGCATGGTAGGTAATTTCGTTATCACTTCTGGGTATTCTTGCCATCTCTTTTGGCAGTTCCCGGTTCCAGAACTTGTACAGCATTTAATCTCTGGATGTTCAACTTTGAAGTTCTATACTGTATTGATTTCATAGCATATTATGAGGAATAGATAATGTTTTTATAAGTCGCTAAGGTCGATGAGCCACATGAATCACGCCCGTGTCCCTGCCTTACTCATTGTAAAGCCCCATTGGAGAAAAGAAACTGGCCGTAGGGCACAGCATTGTGATGAAGATGGATAATACAGGGCACGATGGTGAGAGTAATATACACATACGTAGAACTGCGTCTGAGACACCACAGATTCAACATAAAAGGGGAAATAGCTTATGCCGTGCCCTTCCTCCGTTCCTCGCTCCTCTTTTTGGCGCGGACCTCAGCGCGTCTCCTTTCACCACCGTCCACTTTGTGTCCCAGCCTATCCTCCCACATACCTTCCTGGACCTTGATCAGAGCGGCGCTGCCGTTTGTTCCCTTGATTGGTTGCAGGAAGGGTCCCCTAATCAAAGAGCCACGGTGTATCTTCATATGTGCATATTTCTTGAGGGGTCTGGAGGGCTCATGCTCATAGCCGGTAGCATCTGGTGAGAGATTTACAATCATTCGCTTCATACCGGGTGATAAGTTGGCCGAGGAGTCCTGAGGGCTCGACTCTCGTTCACCTCTGGTTGTGTGGGTGCCCGGCACAGGCACTGCGACTACTCGCAATTGGGCAGCTCCATCGATGACATGCTCCAAATCACCACCAGGACCGTAAATACCCTGCCTGAACTTCTCTCTTTTGCGAAGTAAATATCGTCGTTGGCGCGCAGGCTCGATGCCGACTTCACGGAGTTCGGTGGAGTTGAGGGTGAAAAGTTTGTCCCAAGACGACAGTTTGCTGGCGTGCTTTTTCATATCACGACCGATCAAGGTAAGGAAGGTCTGGACGTCGGGAACGAATGGCGTCGGGGAAGGAACAGAGGGAGCGGCAGCATTCTTGTGGAAACAACGAGTGCATTGGATGGTGAGAGTGAATGGTTTGATAAGTCTCGAAGACAAAGTACCCAGATTTGAACTGCACAGCTTCATGGTAGGCGAGCTCAAGATATTAAATGTCTATACTGGCACAATTGGAGACAACTTATTGCTGAGAACGGTTTTGGAAGGGTTCGAAAAGGGACACTGCCCTCAGATAATTCTTTTTCTTTGCTGATTCTCTTGACATCTGGAAATTTATGGATCCCCAACTTTTACAGTGATCGTCGGGATCAATAATAGTCCGAACTCGCAACTACCAATGGCGTCTTAGTACGCCATATCTTCAGTCAATTATCCTTTCGAGGATTCTGTCAAACGATTTCCTCATGAATACATCTCGGCTTCTCATCTGTAGGCTTTGTATTGCTTTCAAAGTCTTGATGTCCTAGGTTCAAAGCCATCTCTCTTCACAATTCGTTTGTGAAGACTACGAAATCCAACCAGAAGAGATTCGAGCGATGGCACTTTCACCTTCAATTTCCCAGTCACCGTCAGCTACAGCATCATCTTCAAGTGCAGCAATTAAATTGCGGGGTTTTTCTACCCAAAAATCAGACAATGAAGAGCGAGGCGCACCTACATTACAATCAGATATTGACCGTGAACTCACAGAGCTCTTAAATGAAGACATTCAGCACAAATATGTCAAGGGTACGGTACCAGTTTCTCTATCCTTTTACCCATTTTCTTTTTCGGCTTTCTTCACTAACATATATATATAGACAAGAAGCTGGGTGAGGGTACCTATGCCGTCGTATATCTTGGGCATCTTCGCGACGACCCCTCGTCATTTGTGGCGATCAAGAAAATCAAAGTCAATACTGAGTACAAGGACGGTCTTCCTATGGATGCCATTCGCGAAGTGAAATATCTACAAGAGTTATCGCATCCCAATATAATAGCTCTCCACGATGTATTCTCTTCTAAAGACCAAAATCTCAATCTGGTTTTGGAATATTTACCACGTGGCGATCTGGAGATGCTCATTAAGGATGAAAATATCCACTACGGTGTTGCAGATGTGAAGGCTTGGATGGGAATGCTTGCTAGAGGTGTTTGGTTTTGCCACGAAAACTTTGTGCTACATCGAGACATCAAACCCAACAATCTTCTCATTGCCAGTGATGGTGAGGTCAAGCTGGCGGATTTCGGCTTGGCTAGATCATTTGCAGATCCCTATTTAAATATGACACATCAGGTCATAACCCGTTGGTATCGACCGCCCGAACTGCTTTATGGTGCCCGGCAGTACTCTGGGGCCGTTGATGTGTGGTCCATGGG